TTGCGTTATCGAGAGCTCGGAATGCTGACTCGGTGAAAGTTCTTTCATCGAAAGCCAAAATCAAGAATATTGTCTACAAAAATATTTTGTAGAAAGGCTATTTGATTCGAACTACTACAAAACACCTGAAAAATCTGCCATACCAAGTTATTGTATTCTACCAGATCATCATTATCTCTAAAATTTCGCCTTATTACATGAGACGACAATGGTGCAAGGACGGCAAAAGTATCCTATTCAGGTTTGTGTGCTTTTATACCTTTCCTTTTCAACCTAGCAGACAAAACTAACAATAACGTTATAGTTGCCTCCGAAATCAAAAAGGACACTGTTGTCAACTGCAGAATACGATCCCTTACAAGCTTCTCTTTCCTTCATTCAAAATCTCTTCTACAAAGCTATTAGCGTTCACGGTAAGCAAGTTCATCGCTACGCATTTTAACTATTCGGTACTGCTTGGAGCTTTTAGTCCGAAATTTCTACTCTCACTTCATTCATTCCGCCATTTTCAGTTCATCGAAGTGAACAAGATATTAGCCGCAAAAGACCTTAGATACAAGCTCTATGGTGGGTATTTTCGGCTCCGTGAAGCCCACTCTCATAACCTACCCAAAACGTCCACTTCATAGTACGTCTGCCATTACAGTTTCGCCGACCGAAAACCCTTCATGCCACCTCTTAGTGAGTAACTTCAGTTTCGTTGGACCAACTATATACAACTGTTGTATGCTTCCAGTTCAAACTTTCTTCCGCCACTACCGTCAAAAAATATCTCACGCAACCTCTACGGTGAGCAAATTCGCTCTTTGTGAGGTTTACTACTCAAGCTCACTCTGGCTTTCCAGTTTGGGTCCCTTTTGCCGCTACTGTTAGTTCCGCCAATTCGAAAAATACTCGATACCGCTCTCATGGTGGGTCAACTGAGTTTGCAGGACTTCCTATGAAGGTCTACTCTAAAATTCAACTCAGTCTCTCCCGTCGCTACTATTGTTCCGCCATTCGGAAGTCTCCGCATCACCTGCTACCGCCAACTCAAAAAATATTTCATGCCATCCCTACGGTGAGCATATCCGCTCTTTGTGAGGCTTATTACTCAGTTTCACTCTGATTTTTCAGTTTGGAGTCCCTTTTTCCGCTACTGTTAGTTCCGCCACCTCGGAAAATACTCGATACCGCTCTCATGGTGGGTTAACTCAGTTTGCAAAATTCCCTTTGGCCAACTCAAAATTTCAGTTTAGTTTCTTTCATCGCCACTATTGTTCCGTCAGTTCGAAATTCTCCGCATGAACTGCTACCGCCAACTCAAAAGATATTTCACGCCATCTCTATGGTGAGCACATTCGCTTTTTTAAGGTGTACTACACAAGTTCACTCTGATCTTACAGTTTGAAGTCCCTTTCGCCGCTACTGTCAGTTCCGCCTCCTCGGATAATACTCGATACCGCTCTCATGGTAGGCCAACTCAGTTTGCAAAATTTCCTATGAAGACCTACTCAAAATTTTAGTTTAGTTTCTTCCATCGTCACTATTGTTCCGTCAGTTCGAAATTCTCCGTATGACCTGCTACCGTCAACTCAAAAGATATTTCACGCCATCCCTATGGTGAGCACATTCGCTTTTTGTAAGGTGTACTACACAAGTTCACTCTGATCTTTCAGTTTGAAGTCCCTTTCGCCGCTACTGTCAGTTCCGCCGCCGCTACTGTCAGTTCCGCCTCCTCGGAAAATACTCGATACCGCTCTCATGGTAGGCCAACTCAGTTTGCAAAATTTCCTACGAAGACCTACTCAAAATTTAAGTTGCTGCTGCTGCTGCTGTTCCGCCACCTGCTCCGCCAATCAATATTATTCAACGATTCCGTCCTTTACAAACTCCATGTACCTATCTGTAGAGAGCTTTATTGCTTAGCTAGGTCAAAAGGTTTTGAAAATAAAGATTTGTGTACAGCCTTTGCACTCACATGCTTAACATGAATTTTGCTTGAAAGTTCATCAAAGGAGCTAATGTGCCATGGAGATCGCCGAATGCTATGTTATCATATGCCTGCTCCAAAAAGTATGGATGAATGCAAGTGGAAATCAGTTCTCATTACATCTTTAGTGTAGTACAGGTATTTCACCAATGATGAGAGGATAAACAAGGAAACTGAACTCGAGACCCTTTCTTGAACTTCAGGATTGTCTGGGTTAGTACATTGAGATAATTACGAACGTTTATGGTAGTCAAGTGCAATCTACCAGGAATAAGCGCTTTCGGTAGACGCTTATGATGTTATTAGTTGCGGTGGGAGAACGTTCCCTTCCATTTTTGGGAGAGAACGGTTACTGAGTTGCGAAGACAATTGCGCTTCAGGTTATCTTCAAGGGAGATCAATTATAAGAAGCCATCAGTCGCGCACGGTATCGTGAGCAGCGCAACAGCTTTTTTGAACAGATGAGTTGAACCGGACTTAATTCATTATGGGCGAGGAGCTCACGGAGTGTATATATATATATATATGTGTGTGTGTGTTTAGCCAAAAATATTTCTTTCCTTTTCAACTGTACCAGAGCATCCAAATTTGCAGGAAGCGTAGGGACAGGCTATTTTTACACGGAAAGAAGGAGCGCCCGGGCGTAAAATAAAGTCGGCCAGGCATAAAATAAATTCCACAATAACCCTGGCCACACAGGTTTATACCCCGTAGAGGCGTGTAAATCCCTACAATTACCCAAAGGGGCTTTCCTTTCGAAGTTAGTGTTCATGGTAACACACAGCCCAAACTACACAGGGTTCCTTCGATTACATGGACTGCAAATTTATTTGATTCGGATGCATCGGAATACTCTTCATGGCCAGACACAGCCCCATTTCACATCCCAAAAAAGATGATGGCCGCTACAGAAGAGTCAGGGAAGAGGCTCAGATGATAAAGTTCTACATTGAAAATCAAAAGCTCATGTGGCTCCGTCCCTCATTGCTAGACCCCCTAGCGCACGCAAGAGCGTGCGTAGCTGCCTGGTAAGCTATAATAAAACGAATATGGGAATTTCTATGCACGTCAATCATTTCCACTTCAACTTCAAAGCAACTCATAGGAAGGAGTCTAACCGTGGTTTCATGTCCCAGGGCATCACCAGGTCCACCTCGAGGGAGGATCTTTTGACCATTAATGGATTATCACAGTGCACGTTTTTCGAGCAACTATTGTTCCGCAGTATTTAACTTGTACCAGCGCTTGGAGATTGCGGAAAGCGGATTGGAGTATTTCCTCTGAAGATATTCCCACTCGACCGCCATCTACCGTTAGTGCAGGGAGCTGCCGAAGTTCTCGAAACACTATTCCGAGCATTCGGGGGTAGAAAGGCACATCTGTTCGATCAATGACAGTGACGAAATTTTACGTCGGATTACTGTTTCCCGGAATCCTCAAATGAGACGGAGCTCCGCAAATAGCCAACACTGAGCCTAAAAACGTTTTGCAAGCATCTAAGACGCATTTCATGGATAAATAAAATGAGCAAATGCTTCAAAAATCCGAACTTTCGCTTTATGCCTACAGGTTCACCATCCTACCATCGGCGTCACCGTTCCAAAGCCACGGCTTTGTTCGGTTCGGTGATCTGCTCGGTACAGTAGTATAACACAGAGTGGAATCGGTTCCGTAACTTTGTTACCAAAATCGTTCAGCAGATTTGGAACACAGATGAGACCAGCGCTCAAAACCATCTACGGCAGTGCATCTCATCTTAAAAGGTCACTGCGACTAACAAGGGAAGGATACTTGGTCGCCGTGGCCATTCAAGATGAGATGTATAACCCCGTAGGTGGTTTCGAACGC